CCTGGGCACTGAAGGGCCCTTGGTACCCAGAAGCTCTGGGTTCCAGGCTTATGACACTCTGTCACAGCCTTCCAGGAAAGGAACAAAAAGAAGTATCTGTCGGTGTTCATCCAGAAAACTCCCTGAACTACGTACTGAGGGTGCAATGAGGCTTCTCCGAAGCCGAGAACTGCTGAGAGGCTGTGAATGATAATGTGATAATGGTCTCAGAATAAAGTGAAAATGTCTACATCTTCATAGTCAACTTCAGGCTACAAAAACCCTACACATTTTCCTTTATATAACTGGGCACAGCTCTAACATGGTGTTCAGATTTTGTAACAGGTTTCTGCAAACACATTTTAAATGTTTTTTTTCCCCTCCCCATTAGGGCTTTAAGGCTACTCTTTCCCTATTGCATTTCGATGAAAATGAAAAGGTAGATTCTTATCTTTCACCAGGGAGCCTTTCGGGTATGTAAATAGTGGCCAGAGCCATGTGTGTTTGATTTATTGCTCAGAGCGTGGTAGCGTTCTGCATGGCCACTGGTGCTCAAGGTTTAAGCATTGCATATCGCCTAGTGGGACTGGTACATTTTAAGTACAATTCTTGTAATTTTTTTTTTTTTTTTTGGTCTCTCCCTCTATATTTAATCTCAGATTATACCATAAAGGTAAACAGCTGCAGAAACACAAGAAAGCCTGACATCCAGTGGAGTTGGCTAATCTGAAAAGGGCTGATAAGATCTTCTCCGTCTCAGCAGAGCAAGGGCAGCGGGCACTGCATGGCTTTCTTTAGCTGACTAGAATGTTCCCTCATTTCACACAGAGTCAGTTCTACTACGTGGAGGACACAGTGTTCTAACGCTAGAGAAGCTGTCTTTTTTTGGTTGCTATGTGTGAGCAAATCTATTCTGCTTAATTACAAAAACATGATGATGTCAGTAATCTGATAAACCATCTATTTCTTCTGATACTTCCAATTTTACTGGCAGAACATGATATAGATAAGTTTGTCTGGAAACGCCTCCAGGGAAATCCAATTGTTTTCATTGTTGTTGTTGTTTAGTCACTAAGTCGTGTCTGATTCTTTGAGACCCCATGGACAACAGCGCACCAGGCTCCTTACATCTCCCAGAGCTTGCTTAAACTCAAGTCCATGGAGTCGGTGATGCCATCCAACCATCTCATCCTCTGTCGTCCCCTTCTCCTGCCCTCAATCTTTCCCAGCATCAGGGTCTTTTCAAATGAATCGGCTCTTTGCATCAGGTGACCAAAGTACTGGAGTTTCAGCTTCAGCATCAGTCTTTCCAATGAATATTCCTTTAGGATTGGCTGGTTTAATCTCCTTGCAGTCCAAGAGACTCTCAGTAGTCTTCTCCAGCACCACAATTTGAAAGCATAACTCTTCGGCACTTAGCCTTCTTTATGATCCAGCTCTCACATCCTTACGTGACTACTGGAAAAACCACAGCTTAGACTAGACGGACCTTTGTCAACAAGGGCTTCCCAGGTGGCTCAGTGGGTAAAGAACCTGCCTGCAATGCAGGAGATGCAGGAGATATGGGTTCAGTTCCTAGGTCAGGAAGATCCCCTGGAGGAGGGCACAGAGGTTATTGATATTTCTCCCAGCAATCTTGATTCCAGCTTGTGCTTCATCCAGTCTAGTGTTTCTCCTGATGTACTCTGCATATAAGTTAAATAAGCAGGGTGACAATATACAGTCTTGACATACCTCTTTCCTGATTTAGAACCAGTCTATTATTACATGTCCAGTTCTAACTTTTGCTTCTTGACCTGCACACAGANGGACTCCAAAATCACTGCAGATGGTGATTGCAGCCATGAAATTAAAAGACGCTTACTCCTTGGAAGGAAAGTTATGACCAAGCTAGACAGCATATTAAAAAACAGAGACATTACTTTGCCAATAAAGGTCCATATAATCAAAACTATGGTTTTTCCAGTGGTCATGTATGGATGTGAGAGTTGGACTATAAAGAAAGCTGAGTGCCGAAGAATTGATGCTTTTGAACTGTAGTGTTGGAGAAGATTCTTGAGAGTCCCTTGGACTGCAAGATCCAACCAGTCCATCCTAAAGGAGATCAGTCCTGGGTGTTCATTGGAAGGACTGTTGCTGAAGCTGAAACTCCAATACTTTGGTCACCTGATGGGGAGAGCTGACCCATTTTAAAAGACCCTGATGCTGGGAAAGATTTAGGGCAGGAGGAGAAGGGAACGACAGAGGATGAGATGGTTGGGTGACATCACCAACTCAATGGACGTGGGTTTGGGTGGACTCCAGAAATTGGTGATAGACAGGGAGGCCTGGCATACTGCCTTTCATGGGGTCGCAAAGATTCAGACACAACTGAGCGACTGAACTGAACTGATGTTGGGTGGGTTGCCTTGGAACCCATTCAGTCACTTTGAGACTGCACCCAAGTACTACATTTTGGACTTTTTTGTTGACTGTGAGGGCTACTCCATTTCCTCTAAGGTATTCTCACCCACAGTAGTAGATAGAGTGATCATCTTAATTAAATTCACCTATTCATGTCTGACTTCCTACTTTTACATGCAAAAGTAGGAAATCAAAGAGATACCTAGAGTAACAGGCAAATTGGGCCTTGGAGTACAAAATGAAGCAGATCAAAGGCTAACAGAGTTTTGCCAAGAGAACACACTGGTCATAGCAAACACCCTCTTCCAACAACAAAGAGAAGACTCTACACATGGACATCACCAGATGGTCAATACCGAAATCAGATTGATTATATTCTTTGCAGCCGAAGATGGAAAAGCTCTATACAGTCAGCAAAAACAAGATTGGGAGCTGACTGTGGCTCAGATCATGAACTCCTTGTTGCCAAATGAAATTGAAAAAAGTGGAGAAAACCACTAGACCATTCAGATATGACCTAAATCAAATCCCTTATGACTATTCAGTGGAAGTGAAAAATAGGTTTAAGGGACTAGATCTGATAGACAGAGTGCCTGGTGAACTATGAATGGAGGTTCGTGACATTGTATAGGAGGCAGTGATCAAATCCATCCCCAAGAGAAAGAAATGCAAAAAGACAAAATGGCTGTCTGAGGAGGCCTTACAAATAACTGAGAAAAGAAGAGAAGCTAAAGGCAAAGGAGAAAAGGGAAGATATACCCATTTTAATGCAGAGTTCCAAAAAATAGCAAGGAGAGATAAGAAAGCCTCCTCAGTGATCAATGCAAAGAAATAAAGGAAAACAATAAAATGGGAAAAACTAAAGATCTCTTCAAGAAAATTAGATATACCAAGGGAACATTTCATGCAAAGATGGGCACAATAAAGGACAGAAATGGTATGGACCTAACAGAAGCAGAAGATATTAAGAAGAGG